TACCCCGGTTTTCCTCCGGGAGACTGAGGAGAGGGGCTGCTGGGACTCCACCTTCCAGTCCTTCTTGTCTGGTGTGGATCCGTGGGGCGGGCGTAGGGCTCTCGGACCAGGGCTGCCAGCCCACCCCCGCGTCTTGGAGGGGAGCTTCTGCGAGCGAAGGCCAGGGTGAGCAGGTCCCTGCAGGATCCGAGTTGTGGTGGCATTTGTTACATGGTGAAGCAAGGCGGGAGCATCGCACCTGGGGCTCTGTACCCGGTGTTCGTTGTGGCTTTTTAATCTAGTTCCCACCAAACTCCCAAATGCATTGTGGTTCTGAGCGTTTACAGGCTGCGGTGAGTCTAGTGGTCATGCTGGTATCACCTAAATTGTTCATAAAATGGGCTGGCATTCAAATATTTCAGTATTGTCTGGCTCTTCCCTCCCCACACATCTTTGTTTTTGAACTATGGCGTGTTCAGGAAGTTTCAGTTAACTTGAGGCACTTACTGATGGGCTGTTCAGTTAATTATACTAATGTTGTTAATAATCCATACTAATGTTGCTTGTCTGCATTCCATACTCTTCTTGCATTTTTGGAATATGTTTTCTGTTGGAAAGTACTGGATTGTTCATAGTTCTATGTCCCGGATCTGTATTTGAGATTCTAAATTGCACCCAAAGCCGTAAAAGTGGTGGAAAATCAGTGAGGGAAAAGCAGGGGAGTAGGAGAATAACTGCGCAGTGCTATTAAAATATAAGTTTCCTAAGTAAGAAAACAGGGTTCGCTTCTTGTATTTTCTCTTCCTCTTTCTTGCCTTCCTACTTTGCCCTCTTCAGCTTTTGTTTCAGTGTGTTACTTGGTACTAGTACAGATTTTGCAGGCCAGTTTTTAAACACATTGCTGAAGTTTTTTTTGTCTGTCTTGACTACCTGTCTTTGGGATGACTGTTACTAATGGCAACAGGACCAAAGTTGTTAACTGCAGTGGAAGTGAGTTTTCTATGGTTTGGAAGCTATGTATATGGATAACTTAAAAATTCATTTAATGTTTTTCTCCTTGTTCCAGATGGAAAAGAAGAGTTCATGGTTTCTGGTTTGCATAATAGCAGAGGCTTTAGTCTCCTAAAGGAGACTGTAGTGTGGGTGAGAAGTGTCAAGCCCCTTGCAAGGCTTTGCTGTGTAAAAAAGAAGAAATGAATCCTACAAATGACGATCCAGTGTTTGGAACCATTTTTGACTGGGACTATCTCTTATGGGAAGTTCGTTTGACATTTTTAGCTGCTGGATTTTTAATCTACCTGGGAGTATTTCTTCTGTCTCACTGGTTGTCTTCATGGATAAGTACCACTTATCGTGCCTTGTATGCAAAGGAGAAGGTGTTTTGGAATATGGCGGTCACACGTGGTGTGTTTGGACTTCAGAGTTGTGTTGCTGGGTTATGGGCTTTGCTCATAGATCCTGTTTTTCATGCTGACAAAGTGTATTCACAGCAAAAGTGGAGCTGGTTTAACTGCTTAATAGCTGCTGGATTTTTCTTGCTTGAAAATGTAGCTGTTCACATGTCCAACGTTATTTTTAGAACATTTGATGTGTTCTTGGTAGTTCATCACTTGCTTGCTTTTGGTGGCTTGGCTGGTCTAGTAATTAATGTGAAATCTGGACATTATCTGCCTTTGATGGGAATGTTACTGGAGATGAGTACTCCCTCAACATGCATTTCCTGGATGCTTCTAAAGGTAAGAAAATGATAATTTTCAAATTATGTTTGTAACAGTTTTCATGCATCTCAGTTGTCCATAGGTGTCTAAATTTAGCCCGTATCTGGGGCTAAACAACAGCCAGCTGTTCTATTACCCAGTGACTCCTCCTCACTCAAGAAGGGGAATCATGAAAAGGAAGGAACACTCTGTTGAGATAAGAACTATTTAATAATAGAAATAAAATAAAACCAATAATGATAATAATATATACAGACAAGTGATGTATGGTGCAAGTGCTCACCACTCCTCGACCAATGTCCAGCCCATTCCCGGAGCTGGAAAATCCCAAGACTACAATCCCAGAAGAGAGAGTAGGCCTTGGGAGCAGAATGACAGCGAGACCCTCCAGGGATGGTGACCATTGAGAAAGAGCGATTGTACCTAACAAACTTTCCAGTTTATAGCCAGCATGATGTCACATGGTATGGAATTCTCATTTGCCAATTTAGGTGTTCATCACCCTGGCCACGCTCCCCCCAGGTTTCATAGAATGGTTAGGGTTGGAAGGGACCTTAAAGATCATCTAGTTCCAACCCCCCTGCCATGGGCAGGGACACCCTCCACTACACCAGGTTGCCCAAAGCCTCATCCAACCTGGCCTTGAACACTTCCAGGGATGGGGCATCCACAACTTCTCTGGGCAACCTGTTCCACTGCCTCACCACCCTCAATGTAAAAAATTTCTTCCTTATATCTAATCTAAATCTCCCCTCTTTCAGTTTAAATCCATTGCCCCTTGTCCTATCACTACACGCCCTTGTAAAAAGTCCCTCTTCAGCTTTCCTGGGTCTTGGACATCTGGGTCATTAGCAAAAACAAGTTGAGAAGTCCTTGATCACTATGGATACCTGCATACCATGGATGGCTACAAACTAAGCCAAAGTGTCTTACCAACTTTGTTCTCACTGAATCAGGTGCTGCAGTCGTGTTAAAAATGCAGCTTACTTGAGAAATGTAGCTTTTCTGAACAAAACATTGATTCTATGAGTCTATTGCAGCGAAACCAGAACAACAGGTAATCAGTGTGGTTTGTCTAGACAGCTTTTCAGCAAAACTGCATTCATCTAACCGATACCCATGTTATTGTGATACCTGCTTTTATTGTGTTATTTCTGTAGTCCTCCATATAGGTTTCTCTGTGATGCTGTGTGCATGTGATAGTGAGATGGTATAAATTCATTCTGAGTTTGAGATGCCATATGCATGTGGAATATCACAGCTTTACATGGAAAAAAAAAAAAAAAGCCTGAGAGCGTGTGTATGTGAAAGCTGGATGTTTGTGTTAGTTCTACAGATTCCGCAGTCTGTTATCGTGAAGTAACAATCTCACTTCTTCATACTTTCTGTTCTTGTTTTTCTAGGCTGGCTGTGCTAATACCTTTTTCTGGAAGGCAAACCAGTGGGTCATGATCCACCTGTTTCACTGCCGCATGATACTTACTTACCACATGTGGTGGGTGTGTATTTTCAATTGGAATTCTGTGATGGAAAATCTGGGACTTCTTCATTTTGTTATTTTATTCTCGGGATTATTTGCCGTTACACTAGTACTTAACCCATACTGGACATATAAAAAAACTCAGCAACTCCTCAGCCCCACTGACTGGAACTTTGAAAATAAAGCAACGGAAAACGGAAAATTAAATGGTGAATCACATCAAAAGAAGAGGATATAACACTGAAACAGCTGTTTCCTAGTAGGGTAGTGGAAGAACCCAACACAAAGGGATTCTTTGCCTGTGAACTAGAAGCTCATGCAAGAAGCTCATTAACACAGTGATTCTTTGCTGGTAGTATTCTGTATGCACCAGCAGTATTTAAAAGCATTTTTTGTGTTTCATACATGCATACATATAAGATCTTCAACTTCTTAGCTATGAATGACGCCAACAATTTTATCAGATTGGACAGTATTTCACGATTTAATAGTGACAAGCTCTCTAATGGCATCTTTTGTCCTAATGCTTCTAAGTGGCTTTACAGTTGATTTGTCTATTAAGCTCAGCTTGAATCAAGTTTAGCTTGAACCCTCTTTCACATATGTCGGAGATACTGGTACTGGAAATTATGTTATTTATTAAGATCAATTATGACCCAAGTTAGGTATGCATGGGTACCTAGTTCCTGTGTGCCATTAAATCATTCCAAGTGGCTGAATTGGTCAGTGATAGAATGCAGTCATGGCTGGGTTTTGGGGTCTTTTTGTTGGTGTTGTTTTGGTTGTTTTTTTGTTTTTTCTTTTTGTTTTTTTTTTTTCTTTTAAGTGCACTTGAGGAAGGGGAAGATAATTGTTTGAGTGCTCACTGTCAGAGACAGTTGTAGTTTCCAGGTTGCCCTCAGAATGGGAGGAGTTCATATCCACCACAAACATGCACATGGGAATGCAGGCATTCGCTATACTGGTGGTCTAACTAGGTAATCGTACTGGTCATTTCTGGACTTAAAATCAGTGAAATACAAGAGGCAATGATAGAACGTTTGACTCTTGTTTCATCCTTGAAAAGATTGCTGGTTGATTGGTAAAATTATTGTCATTGTAGGTTCCACATGAGTGGTCATGCAATTAGTTCCACTAGTGCTCTTGTTATGGTTCCTCTTATTTTTGGGAATTGTCTTAGTTATAGAGGGTTGTAGAATCTGAGGTGACTCCTCTGTGGAGGAAAACCCGTATCACCTCCTTTAGGAGTTCATTTGTTCTTCTAGTATTTTTATTTTACTTCGAAGAATGAACAAAGTGACACTAACAAGCCTTTGCACTTTATCTGCCATATCACTAAATCTTTCCACGACCTAAGGAACAGAAATGCTTTTTAGAAAGGGACTTGGCAAGCTGTGGTAGATGTTCTCCTGCTAATAGTATTGGTCTGGTGGTTCCTGGGTGAAATTTTGGACGGTGCATGAGGATATAAAGATCACGATAGAAGACAGTGACGCCTAGTGGCAGAAGAATGACAAAGATACTACTTAGTTTTGACACACTGAATTAGTGAGATAAAATTCCAGTCGTTTGAAGCTTTGTCATATAGTGCGACGTGGCTGTATTTGTCAAAGTAATAAGCCTGGGCAAGCCAAAGCTGTGAAGATTTTAGGTCAGGGCATGTGTTAGAGACTTTTTATACTGATCTGTGGTGGACCATACAGTTTTAAGCCTATAAGGGAAGCGCTGTTTTGTGTAAACAACCCCATTTTATTAATTTTTGGTGGGAATGTCTTTGATTTCGTTCAGAGCGAGGGGAGGAAGCTAGTGGTCAGGTTTCTTGTTCCCTAATTGACTTTGTGTGAGCACAGAGTTGAAGAGCTGCTCTTTAAGGGAGAGGAAACCTTTTGCTATTAGGTCACAAATGTATAACTAGATCTTGTTGATAATGCTGAAGTGGTGAAAAACTGAAATTGCCCATTCAAAACTAGGCTGAGAGGGTCATAGTAATTTTACACAGCAACCCTATCTATTATCCTACTGATATTCAATAGAGAAATTCTAAATTTTGTGCTACCTTCTTATTTCTTAGCAGGCTGGAATGAGGTGGCAGTGTGGGCTGTCTTGGACACCATCCTATAGAAAAAAACGGTTCTTTAAAGCTGGAGATTGCATATCTCTCCTGAAGGGTTGCGTGAGAGATAAAATATTAAAAGTACTTCAGAAGAAAGCAGAGAGATGAATTCCTCAGAAACGTATGATCCAAATGCGTATCTTGTAGAATCCAAACCTCACTTGCAGGCGTTTCAGGAAGGAAGGCAGAGGATAAGTCGCCACATATCAAAATGATGGTGTGCTTTATGCAGCTTAAAATTTAAAGATTTGGATTCAATAAAACAAGGCAATAATTACAGAAATCCCAGCTACAGAAACCTGAAGAATCCTAACAGAAAATGGAAGCATCAGAGAAGTAAGTTTGGGCCAAGTGTGTAGTTCTTATACTGTCTTGCTAAAGGAGGTGAAGTTCCTGTGTGCTAAAATAAAACAATATGGAGGGCTGGGGTTAGTAGTGAATTTGGGGCTGAAAAAACAAATCATGTGTGGTCCAAGCAGACAGGTGGATAGTTATGTCCGTGGCACAAGACTTCTAGAATTTAATAATTTGTATTATTATTCTGTGTAACGTTAAGTGGATTTTAAAATTTTCATTGACAGTGTTTTTTATCATAATAAGGCAATCTTTTTAATATGCATCTCAGTGTGAGTTTTTTCCCTCAAAGATTGTTATGGCTTATCTCAAACCGTTTGCATGTCTTACAGTATAATTAATAATACCTAACAGCACTTGTTAACTTAAACACTGCTAGAGCTACGCAATAAAACAAATAACAGCACTCATTTTATTTCTGTTGGTTTGAGGGACGTGGGGATTTTACAGTCCCAGTAGAAATATAACAGGATACAAAATACAGACAACCTACCTTGGTTATCTTGATGGCCTAGAGTTGGAGTTACCAGTTCTGTTACACAGAGCCTCTTTTTTTTTATACTCGAGTGTTTTGTCCACTGTCTCTTGGCTGCTCCCTTCAAGAGGATTTTCTAGTTTATGATTGCTCTGAAACAACACTGAAAATGTTCTCTACATAAGGGTTTTGGTGTCTGATTACTCTTAGAACTAAGTGCTGCATTTCAATCCAAAGGTACACTAGGCATAGTTTGTTTATAAATTTTGTTAATGTGAAACTAATACCAGTCCTGTTGGGCCTCTCTTATAAGGCCTCATCTGTAATCTGATGTAAAAATACTCAGTCAGCTTCAGCAGTAGCTGGGTCCGGTCACAGAGTGTGCTGCTGCTGCCATGATTTGGAAAACTCTTGCATAAGATGCTTTTGGGTGAGATTTTGTTTGCCTAGGTGACTGTTGGAGACTTCATCCTGCTTTCTTGCTCGACAGGCTTATTCAAGGAGCGCTGTTTGTGTCACCTTTCTGGCTGAAGCTTTTTAACAAAAAAAATCTCAACAGAACAAACAACAAACTCTGGTGGGGGTGTTTAGGTTTGCGGGGGCGAGGGGAGAGGTGTTTGTCTGTTTGAGGTTTTTTTAAGAAAAATGTCAAATCTAAGACACCCTGGCCAGGCATTTGGTTCTTGCTGTCTTCATATCACATTCCTAAATCATGGTTTGTGTTTGCCTCTATTTGTGTCCTGTCTTATGTTTTTTCCAAAACCTGTCATCATTTCCCCTCCCACCCCCCAGTTTGTCTATAGTGTTTACTCCTACTTCCAGTACTGGTCATCATCGTGCAGCAGGCACATCTCCACAGTGATGTCTTTGTCTAATAGTTTTCAGTATGTACTGTTGGGCCCTTCTTCTGCTAAATACCCATGTCCAAATCTTTCATGTTTTTTTGCTTTTCCCCAATAACAATGATAAAATACCGATGTCATGTACAGTTATGAGATATCTTTCTTAACCTCAGGGAGACTCCCACTTAAAGTGAATTTAGAAGTGTTAAGCAAATTGAAGTCTGTTCTTGTACAGTATAACGTTTGTTGAATGGTACAGCATCTTCATACTGTGTGCATAAATAAAAGTATTTTATTGAATAAGTGTCTACCGTAAGTTTCATTTCCTGATGAAATTAATGCCTATTTTTTTTACTTCCTATTTGTAGCTTAAACTTTTTGCAGTGCATGTACTAGAAAGATGACTTACTTGTTTTGAAGTACTGTGTTAAACTTGACTAGAGTAATGTCATATCCATGGAAATAGCTATAGAACTTTGTAAACTGATGTCCCTTCAGCAACATTTAACATACTACTAACATAAGCATGTTTCATTAGATGGCTAAAACACTAGAAGCTGCACTAAAACACTAGAAGCTGCACTAGATGTAAGGATGTATTGAAAACGGCTTAAAAAGCATCAGTTGGAGACGACCCTTCTGGCATGTGTATTTCAAGTGCGTGTTCTATTTTTGCACTAGGCTCTAACTGTGAATACACTTCATGGTTGAGTATGAGCCACCTTAAATTTTTAAACAAAAACCTTGTCTTATTGCTAAACAACAAAATACAGTTCTAAGCATTAGACTCGTGTGTCTTGCATGGTGCATTGTAAGAATTAATTGCTGATGCTCTTTAGCATTAGTGAGTTAAAGGAAAATAGCGTCATTACTGGCATTTTAATTATTCTTACAAGAATGCACTGTGTAAGCAACTGGCTGGCATAATTTTGCTGGCTGCCTCTGCAGTGAAGTCCCTGAGATGAATTGAAGCAGAACTAAGATGTTCATGTGTAAAGCTCCACTAACTGTGGAATGTGTGTGGGTACAGACTGGGATAAGAAGAACAACACGTAATAGTATTTGTATGAATAACGTCCTTTTTTTCATAAACAATCTGTAAAAGGAATTTAAATGTTACTAATGCTTTGCTACTAAGATGTTTTCAATTAATAGGTAAATATATTTTACGTAGTAGTTCTTGCAGTACTCCTGGAAAGTATCAGAGCACACTTACCCTGACAGTGTTATTCAGCAATTACAATCTTTTGATCTTGTGTCATGGCATTGGTATTTAACTTTATAATTTGGAACAAAAAGATAAGTGATGATGGTGATAAATTTATTTTATTGTATTTAAGTAAATTATTCCTGTTGCTTTAGTTGTCAGCCCCCAAATGGGTTTCCAGTTTTGGAAGAGACATTGCATGCTCTGGATCCGATTGACTGATGAGCATGTTCTGCTAGTGGTAGTC